ATCGTCTCACAAAGTACGCTCACTTCATACCCATTACCCATCCTTACACCGCAAAGTCAATTGCCAGATTATTCGTGGAGTACGTAATGAAACTGCATGGAGCGCCTCGATCTATCGTCTCTGACCGAGACCGGATTTTTATGAGCAGTTTTTGGTCTGAATTTTTTAAGCTTCAAGGGACCAAGCTATCTATGAGCTCGGCGTACCACCCCCAGACAGATGGGCAAACCGAGGTAACTAACCGGACACTCGAGCAGTACTTAAGATGCTATGTCCATCAACTTCCAAGGAGGTGGGAAAATTTCTTACCATGGGCTGAGTATTGGTACAACACCACTTACCACGAGTCGACCAAAATGACGCCATTCGAGTTAGTATATGGGCGAAAAACCCCAACACTGATCAGCTATTCGGAGGGGAGCACAGTCAACGATGAGGTCGGTCGAGAACTTGAGGAACGAGATTTGATGCTACGGGCATTAAAGAGAAATCTCGAAGGCTCGATTAATCGGACCAAGTCCTTCGCCGACGGGAAGAGGCGAGAGGAAAATTTTGTACCAGGAGAGTACGTCTATCTGAAGCTTCGACCATTCAGACAACGCACGACTGCGCAAAGGGCAGCTACTAAGCTGGGCGTTCGTTATTATGGGCCATATCAGATTTTGAAACGCATTGGTCAGGTAGCTTATCGTCTGGAGCTACCGGAAAGTTCGCAGATACACCCGGTTATACATGTTTCGCAGCTCAAAAAAAGTCTGGGAGACGCACAAAAGTATTGTGAGGAGCTACCAGCAACCGCAACCGATGGAAGGGCCATAATACGTCCGAGACAAGCGATTGAGTATCGAAAGGTAAAGAGAGCAGGGCGTTACCGATGGGAAGTACTAGTTAACTGGGAAGAGTTGCCATCTGAAGAAGCCACGTGGGAAGATCTTGAAGAGATACGCGATCAGTTCCCGAACTTCATCCTTGAGGACAAGGATTCACTTGAAGGGGACGGGA